ATTCTGGGTGGGAGATTACAGGAGAGTCATGCCAGCTTTCAGGTAGAAAGATAGAAGGGTGACTTTCTCAATATCTTGAGCATCCTGGGCTAGGGATCCAGGTTGGGTGGAGGGACCAAATCCCTGATGGGAAAAGATGAGTTTGGTGGAGACAACAGAAGGAGGGACAGACAATCCTTGTCCTGGTGTACCTGGAGGCAGGGGATTGGATGTGATGACCTCTGGATCAATAAGCTCCAAATGTCTGCTATCACCTCCATCATCATCATCATCATCATCATCATCATTATCATCATCATTATCATGGGTCTGGGTCCAGATTGTCTGGGTTTGGATCCCACTCTGCCACTTATGGTTGGACCTTGGGAAATTTACCTAATCTCCTAATCCACAGTTCCATATCCATCAAATGAGGGTAAATAATAGTAGTTACATAGTGTTGCTGTCAAAATTAAATAAGGTAACATATGGGCTGGTTGTAGTGGCTCCCACTTGTAATCCCAGCACTTTGGGAGGCTAAGGAGGGAGGTTCACTTGAGGCCAGGAGTTCGAGACCAGCCTGGGCAACATAGTGAGACCACATCTCTACAAAAAATAGAAAAGTTAGCCAGGTGTGGTGGTGTGTGCACCTGTAGTCCCAGCTACTCAGGAGGCTGAGGCAGGAGGATTGCTTGAGCCCAGGAGTTCGAGGCTGCAGTGAGCTATGATGATGCCACTGCACTCCAGCCTGAGTGACAGAGCAAGACCCTGTCTCTTAAAAAAAAAAAGGGTATTGTGTGGTAAAGCTCCAAACAGATACTGCAAGCCTAATGTGTACCAGGCACTGTTATAGGTTCTGGGGATTCAGAGGTGAACAAGACACATCCCTTTCTGCGTGGAGCTCCCATGTCAGTGGCACAGTGCTTGGCACATATTGAGTGCTCAGTGACAGGCTGGTAGGACTGCTATCCTTCTCATAAGGAGCATTTGTACAGTGCTCCGCAGGCTATGAAGTACATTCATGTTGGGTATACTTTTCAGACTTCCCACAATCTTAATTTTGTGAGGTGGGTGTTATGATTGAGGAAACCGAGGCTCAATGCCCAGAGAAGTGACTTGCCCCAAACTGTGCAGCTAGCCAGTGGCTGAGGGGACCTGCCACCCAGATCTGCCTGACGACCCAGGCGTCTAATTCTTGATGCAGAAGAGGGAAGAGTGTGTGTGTGTGTGTGTGTGTGTGTGTGTGTGTGTGTGTGTGTGTAGGAGTGGGGTGAACTAAGGATATGTCCTATTTCAGTGTTCACAGGGCATCAAGTCTGACATGGAGGAGAGAATGTTGCTTCCGGGGGCACATGTAGACACCCCTCCTCCCGCTCAACCCGTCTGCCTCATTCTGCACGGTTCACATGGAGCTCAGCACGTATTTGTTGAATGCTTGAATGAGCGAGTGTGTGTCATTCCCCCTCTTCCTCCTCCCCCTCCTCTTCTCCCTCTCTGCTTCCCTTCTCCTGGCTTGTCTCCCCGCCCCCCAAGTCTGCTCCAAGCCAAGCTCTACTTGCCTCCCTTGGCTGGATCCAGCTGGGGAGAGGTGAACAGCTGAGATGCCTTCCAGGAACCAGAGAGTTACAAAACAAGCCCCTGGCTGGCCCCGAGAGTGCAGAGTCAGGAAGAGGAGGGTCCGCTTTCCTGGGGCTGAGGGCTCCAGCCTGGTCAGGAGTGGGGGGTAGGGGGAAGGGGAACACGATTGGGGCAGGGCCTTGCATGGAGGGGTGCTATGGATTGAATGGTGTCCCCCCAAATCCACATGTTGAAGCCTTCACCCCCAATGTGACTATATTTGGAGATAGGGCTTGTCTGAGGTAATTAAGGTTAAATGAACTTATAAGGGTAGGATCCTAATCAGGTAGGATTGGTGGCTTTAGAAGAAGGGGAAGAGAGGGAGATTCTCTCTCTCTCTCTCTCTCTCTCTCTCTCTCTCTCTCTCTCTCTCGCCATGCGCACATATGAGGAAAGACCACGTGGACACGCAGAGAGAAGGCAGCCGTCTGCAAGCCGGGGAGAGAGCCCCCACCAGAACCCAGCCATCATCGCCCCTGATCTTGGACTTCCAGACTCCAGACTGTGAGAAAATAAACCTCTGTCATTTCAGCCACCCAGTCTATGGTATTTTGTTATGGTAGCCCAAGAAGACTGATCAATACAACGGGGAATGGGTACCCCTGGTTCTGCTCTTTCCTATGTGGTCCTTCCAAGCTCAGAGAGAACCAAGGACCCAGGCCCAGGTCAGGCGGGCTCCTGCCCAGGCCTATGTCAGGGCGAGAGGCCCTCTTCTTAGGCTCTTATCCCTTCCCTGGTCTGAACTCTAAGTCCTCATCCCAGCACCCTTCTCTCCAACCATCCCAGACCTAAGATCCCATCTCCTGCCTCCATGGCTATATTTCTAAAGCACAAATCTGGAGGTGGCTGTTCAGAAGGGGCCAGGAGCCAGGGTGCTTCTGCCTCTGGGGAGGGGCTTTGTAACCAGAGAGGAGGCAGGACCTAGGGGTGTGGGAATCTGAGTTTTGAGAGATGGTTGTTCAGTGCACCGGGCTGCCCCCCTCCCTTCACATCAGCCCCAGTAGCATCTGTGTGTCCAGCCACCTGGGACAAAGGGGCAAAGGAATTAAATTGGAAAGGAGCAAGAGAGGGGGAAGGTTTCTCTGTAAAGAGAGGGTGGGCTTGGGGGTGGGTGGGTATGATGAGAAGTGGGGGAAGTTGCGGGAGGGAAGGTGAGGGAGGTGGGTGGTACATGTATACGGGGATGCAGAAAGGGACGGGGAGGGATGGAAAGAGTTGCGGGGGAACCCTGGAGCGGGGACTGGAGCAGGGGTTGAGACCAAGGGCTGCAAGGCCTGGAACCTGCTGGAGAGAAAGCTCCTCGGTGTCCCTGCGTGGGTGTGAAGACCCCTCCCCTCCCGGCTCTCTGCAGCTGTCCTTCCTCCCCTCTGCCCTCCAGCCCTCCCACCCATGCTAGGCCAGCTGCTCTGCCTGTCAGTAAAAGCCCAAGTCAAGTTCTCTGCTAAATCTTAGGGGAAAGATGAGCCTCGGCAAATGCAGCAGAGATGATCACCTTCTGCGGACGCTGTCCCTGGCTGGGCTGAGGGGGACAGGGCAGGGGACTGAGAGGAGTCCAGTCTGGAACTGCAATTAGGCAGTGGGAGGGAAGGCAGGGGCTACCCAACAGGGGTTCAAGGCCATAGGGAAGGTCTCTTCCCCAGCCCTTTAGTGCAGCCTCTGCCACTGGGTCACATGGCTTGGCCCAGGCAGAAGGAGGGTCTCCATTCCTAAGGTTCTGTAGGAAAGCCAATAGCCCTGCAGCCCCTTCCTGCACCACTTGGTGAGACCGTCTGGCATGCCGACCTTGGGTCCCTAGTTGCAGGTCTGGAGGGGGCATTACCCTGAGACTGGGAGGGGGAGGAGGAGCCTGGGTAGAACTCCCCAGGCCCAAGCTGGGATGAAGAGACCATGTCCAGTTGTTTCGGGCTGAGCTGGCAGGTTGGGGGTCATCTGGGTTCAGGGACTCCTGTGGACTCTCTGGAGCTGCTCATGTTCTCTCCCCTCTCCTCAGCCCTCAGGGAGGCTGAGCTGGACCTTGGAACCCAGCAGGGGTCCAGTGGTACCATATACTCACCTTAAGCCCCAGGACACAGGGAAACTCCACCCTTCTGTTTTCCTGGCAAAGTGGCAGGAAAGGGGTCACGAAGAAAGAAAAATGGGTGTGTTAAGCATGCGGGGACACGTGGCTGGGGGTGGGAAGGGAGTGTGACATGCCTATTCTTCTCTAAGACGCAGACACTCCCTGCTAAGTCAGGTCTCCATCTGTGAGGGGACAGCCCAGAAGGCCTCAGAACCAATTGTGCAAAGATAGATGCTTTATTTTTTGTGATGGGAGCTACACACCTGGCAGTTCCCAGGCTGGGATTGGGCACTGTGACCTTGAGAACCTCATCTAACAGTTCCGCAGACTTGGGGGTGGGGCAGTGCCCAACTGCAGGCTGGGTGGGCTGGCCTTAGCCTCTCCCACCAGCCCAGGGCTGCTCCAGTCCAGTTTGGATTCCTGGGTTGAAATCATAACCCGTCAGGCCCAACCTTGGCCAAAGATAATGCTGCTTTGGCAGGGCTAGCGGCTGGGAGGGTGCAGGCACTTGCTCCTCATAGAGCAAGAGTGGGCTTTTTCTCTGAGCCTCCCCTTCCACCCCCATGGAGTGGTTTCCTTAGGAACCCAGGCTTGCTAGACACATGGTTCCAGCTTCTGGGGGCCGGGTGGGGGTGGAGGGGGGAGGGAAAGAGCCAGCTTCCCCAGCCTCTTGGGAAGGAAGGAGGCAGCCGCTTTGCATTCTTGACTCTCTGCTGCCCCCATGTGGCTGTGAGGCCAATTTGACACCACACAGCGGTGGTGGGGCGTGTGTGTCAGTGTGAGTGTGAGTGTGCGCGTGTGTGTTGGGGTGGCGGGGGTCGGGGGACTCAGTAAGACTGAAGCTGAGGCAGAACCACAGAGAGATGGCCCTCACATCTGCTCTAGAGAACTGGGGTCTCTGCCCTCAAGCTCCAGATGTGCAACACTAGGGCAGCTGTAACATCAGCCATGGTACACGTGCTTACCAAGAAATTGAAAGAAAAGTTGGGGATGATACTCATTTGCAAGTGGGGGAGGGGACTAGACATCAAGAGTATGAGGACAGCTTGGTCTTCTCTGACCATGGAGGCAAGATCCCCCCTTGCTGAGCTGCCCCAGCAACCACAGCCATGTTGGCCTGCAGAATCCTGGGCAGGTGCACCCAAAAAGCCATTAGGAAAGTGGGGCAAGGAACAGATATAGAGGGAAATAGAGTCTGCCCATCCCCTGCTCTGTTCTCAATCCTTAACCATCACCCGCCTCAGGCCAGGAACGCTGTGGGTCCTGACACAGCACCTGCTGTCTGCCAGGGGCCCCAGGTCTCTCTGTCAGACTGTTGTGTCAGTAGTATCCAGGCACACTGATGGGATCAGAGGGTCCTGGGAGGTTATTTGCAGGCAGGTGTCCTCGAATGTCGAATGGTGGTATCCTTCAGAATCAAGGAGGGGCATGTTCAAATGCCCACCAAAGTCTGAGAAGACAGCTGACCTTGTCTTTTAGGCTCCCTTCATGGTTGGTGAAACTGAGGCCCACGGGCATCTGGATGAAGGTTACTGCTGAAGGTCACAGCAGGTTCAAGGGTTTCAACTTGATACTGTTCACTTCTAGTCCAACAGACTGGTCTGTCAATGTGGCCACAGGCCACACTCATTCAGGGGGTGGAGGTGGGCTCTCAGGCAAGCCCCGGAGATGTCTGGGAAGGTGCACAGGCAACTCCCTCCCCTACATCCTTTCTGCATCCTGCAGCAGGGCAGCCACCAGGCTGATGACCTGTGAGGCTGGCTGGACTGTGTCATACTCCGCAAAGAGGTGGCACACATTATCCTGGGGCTCCGTCTGGCTCTTGGCCACAAACCCAAAGATCCTGGTGGTGGAGGGGAGTCTGAGTGTGGGGGGGCACCCAGGGAGGCATTGGGCTGATGGGAGTGGGGTGGGGGGCCTCAGCCTGCACCACATTCCTCCCTGCCCCTCCCCTAGCCAGCAAGCTCCAGCACCTCCTTTCATGGGGGCTCCCTGAGGAAGGAGGTACTTCCCTTCCCAGGCTGGGAGATCCCCACATTCATGCTCTTGGTTTCCTTCCATTTGAATGGGGGCTTCCTAGGACAGAACCTGTGTATTTCCCTTTAGAGTGGAAGCTCCCTGAGGACAAGGATGTATCCTGACCATCAGACTGGGGCAATGCAACAAATTGAGGCTCCCTGAGGTTAGAGCCTGTGCCTTTTGCGTAGGACTGAGGGCTCCCAGGCCCATGTCTCCCCCATCAGACCGGAGGCTCTCTGTGGGCAGAGTCAAAGTCTCTCCCGTCAGATTGGGAGCTTCCTGAGGACCAGGGCCTGTGTCCCCATCAACACCACGGGCTATTAAGGTCAGGATGGCCCTCCCTCCTCCCTCTGGTGGGTCTGGGGCCCTGCCACAGGGACAGCTCTTGTGGCGACTGTGTGGATGGGAGGGACTTACCGGGAGGGCTTGCAGTACTTCTGCCACCTGTGGGAAAAGAACACAGCTGGTGCTGAGTGATGAGGCTTTGCTCTGTGCCACAGGGCCCTGGAGGAGCATGGGAGGACTGGCCAGCTGCATCCCCACCCTCATTCTGTCGCTCCAATCCCTTGGGGCTCGCAGGCTTTCTCCGAGATCCCCATCCCAGAGTCTCAGGACACCTGCTGGGCAGCCAGGCCCTGGACGACCTTCTTATTTTGATTCAGCCTTGAACTTACTTCCGTTGTTCAGGGTCCATGCCACAGAAGCGGAGGGTGGCGAGGGGGTAATGGCGCCGGAAAAACACCCTGGAAGGTGGTGGGGAGAGAAGGGTAGCGGGTGAGACCTGGCCCAGTGGCATGTCCTGCCTTCAGGAAACCTCCACTGTAGACCCCGTACATCTGCTGTGACCTTTCCTGCCGCTGGGCCCTGGGTCTGCTTGTGCATCCTCCTCTCCAGAGTGCATCTGCCTCGTGTCCTACATATGGGGCTTTTCTACCATCCCCTGACCATGTCATTTAACTTTTTGAGGATAGGAATTACGTCTCGGTTCCCTCTTGATTCTCCCAGCCCAGGATCAGGTTTCCGCTAGACTATGAGTCCCTGGGCCCAGGGAAGGTGTGATCTCTTTCCACCCTGTGTCTCACTGGTCAGCCAGAGTCTGGCCCATGGAAGTCTGCACTCCATCAAAGGGTGCAGACTTAATCGGTACCCAGTGAATACAAGTTAATGCCATCTTCATCAGTCACGATGCAGGGGGGCTTTGGTCATTGGAGTGAGGCCCAGAGAAGGCAGGGAAATTGCCTGGAGTGGACCAGCACATCACCACTCCCACTGGGTCCAGGACCCTAAACTTTACCTTCATTACTGATCCATGGCTGTCTCAGCCACCTGCTCCAGCTCTGCTCTGCCCACCCTGCAGCCCCAGGGCAAGGGAAGACCCTTACTTCCTCTGGATATCGGTCAGGGTGATACCCTGCTCCGTGACTTTGAAGTGGACCACAGTGGGCGTGGGGAGGACATCCCTCTCGAAGGTGGTGGAGATGGCCTTCTGCACGGCCAGGGCGCCGGTCAGGGTCTCTACGCTCACGGAGCTCAGGTACAGGGTGTGGCAGCCTGTGGGATGCAGACACTGCGCTGGGGCTGCTGCCAGGGCCCACGGGGTTGGGGGGGAATCAGTCCCCCAGGTCTTCCCTCTGTCCAGAGGCAGGGGAGGGGGGCCTTTCTTCTTTAGGAATCCAGTGAGGCTCCTCTTTGAGCCACCAAACAGGAAGAGAGTACATGGGTGACCACAACTTGAGGCCGACCCCAGAGGATTTGGGGATCTGCTGTTGCCTTGCATTGCCAGGGCCCCTGGGGTGGGGCAAAGGAGAGGATGTTGCCCTGTGTGTAGGGGCGTCCTGGACAATTTCCTTCTGTCCAGACCTATGGCTGTCCCCCTCCCCACACCTCCACGCTGGGTGGGGGGTGGTTCTTTGGCGAGAGTGTGGGAGGAGAGCCACTGTACTCAGGGCCGCAGAGCAGGAGCTGTCACTGAGACAAGTACTGATCTTGCCTGGCCTCTGGGAGAGTAGGGGAGGGACCTTTTCTGTGTTGAAGCCTCCAGGACTCAGGCCTGACTCCCCACAGAGGATCCCAGACCCAGAGACCACCTCCAGGGCAAGCACCTCAGACCCAGAGAGACTCTAGCACACACGCAGCTGCCCATGCGTGTGCAGGATGGAGTGTGAACTCTGCCAGCGCCCCCACCCTGTCCCACTTCCCTGCTGGCCCGGTGCCCGCAGCCTCTCATCTCCTGGTTTACAGGGGGGTGAGGGGGTGTGGCACCTTGTTAAAGATGTAGAAACAAAGCTGTGATGGGAAACATGTGTGGGCCTGCGTGTGCGTGCGTGTGCACAGGGCTGGGAGGTGCCCTCCTGGGGGCACAGCCAGACCTGGCACCTCCCCTGCACCACTCACCAGCAGATTTCTTCAGGCAGGAGGCCGGGCTGTCTGTAGAGGGGTCTGAGGCCCCATCTGCACCTCCCAGTTCTGAGCCAAGGCAAAGGAACAGGCCCCCAAGGGGGTGGGGGTGGAGTGAATGGACCCCTCTCAAAGGAACAGGCCTCATTAATCCCTTTGAACATCTCCCACCTCCGCCCCCACGTCCAGGAAGTGACTAGGCTGAGAAACCAGGTATGATTTCCGTAATTAGGCAAAAGGGGCCTACTTTGGGCTCCCCAAATGCCTAGCTTGCAAGCCTTTTGATCCCTACCCCTTCCACCCCCACACTCAGCCGTGACCTCGTCCTCACGGGCCCTGACCTCCTCACTTCTTTTGGACCCCATCCCAACCCCAGGCCTTTCTTTGCAGAAAGTAGGGGGGCTTTCACCATCACACCACTGAGGCTCCTCCGTCCTGACTCCTCTCTCAGAAACACCCCTTCTTGAGTTTCCCCTGCACACCCTTGAGGCATCTGGGGTACAGCTGGGCTGCACACTGGGCAGGGCTTGCTGATCTGGGTTTGGAGTCTGCCTCTCTGAGCAAGTTACTGCCTTTGGGCAAATTACTTAACATCTAGAACACTCATTTTCTTATCTGCAAAATGGGGAGGATAACAGCAAAATCTACTTCATAAGTTTGTATCGAGGTGTGAGTGAGTGAGTGGGTGCTCAAGAAATGTTGGCCCTGGGGAAAAAAGAAAAACACCTCTCCAAATGTTTGATTTGGGCTCTTTTATCCTTTTGAAGAAGGCTACTATTTATCAAACATCTATTCTGCACCAGGCATTGTGTTAAGAGCCTTGCCTGAGCTGTCTCATTTAATCCACCAATTCTGTAAGTAGGTATGATGAGGATTGCTCCCATTTCATAGATGAGGAAACTGAGGCTCAGAGAGGTTAACATTCTCAAATTCTCACAGCTAGGAAGTGGAGATGTTGACTAACTTCAGAGCATGCACTTTTAACCGTGACACCAACATAATCCATAAACAAGGTAGAAGTGATCACCAGGGGCCTTTCTGGTGAGAACGAACAGGTCCAGCACCCTGACATGGCCTTCTTGGGGCCCAGACCCACCTTTCTGCGGGATGGCAAGTTTGCAGGGCAGGGCCAGGGCCATGATGGAATGCTGGCACACGAAGGCAGAGAGGCTCCCTGCGGGAAACAGGCAGCCCTGCGTGAGTGGGCCTTCCCCAGCCCACCCTTGCAGTTCAGAAGAAGGGAGCCCCTGCTGCCCCTCCCAGGGTGGGGGCCGGAGGCTGGGGAGGCTCACCAAAGTAGGGCTCTTCATCTGCTCCTTTGAGATGCACCCCTTTGGCAGAAGACTCAATGAGGAAGTGTCGGATAAGGTCACTGCTGTCCTCGCCTGGACAGAGAAAGAATGATGCACGCAGATGGGAGTTTCGGAGCCCGGTGCTGGCCAAACACTGACCAACTCATTCCCTGACACACCTCCCAGGGTCCACCCAAAGGTTATCTCGTCCATCCCCCGGCTCTGGGTGGAACCGCAGGGAGGAACCCTATTTTCCAGGCTGCCCACAAAGGAGGTGCCAACACATTTGCTCAAAGGCTTCTGTGTCCATTTGTTCCCACTTCAGAAAACCTTGCCCTTGGTCAAGAGTTATCAGGGATGGTTCTCAATTACTGTTTAGATCAAACCCCGACTCTTCTGTCTGGTTTCTCTCTCCCTTTGCCCACCACATCTGGGTGCTATTGTTCTGCACCGGATCATCCCTGCTGGAGCCCGGCTGGCCCTGGGAAGGTGGACGTGCCCTTCCGACTCTGCTCGCCTGGCTCACAGCTTCCTCCTTGATTTGGGCTCATCACCTCCCCAGAGGCTTCCTTGACGACCAACACCCCCCGCCAGAGGTCACTTTCTTATTTCCATAGCGAGGCACAAAGACCACAAGGTTGGGTTTTTCAGCCTAGCTCTATCACTTAATTGCCCTGGGGCCATTAACTAACTCTCGGGGCCTCAGGTACCTCATCCATTAAATGAGAGGTATGGTCCTGGGGTTTAGGTGTGGGGCTATGACCAGGCACTTTGGACTGTAATTATCTGTTTTCATCTACCTGCCCAGTGAGGTGGCGTCTGGGTCTGATTCCTCTGTATCCCTGGTGCCTCTCCTACTGCATGGTGGATGCCCCAGGCACATGTGCTGAGTTAGCAAACGTGCATGGGAGGTCACGGGAAAGCACATGATAAGCTATCATACACACGCGTGATGAGCTAGTGCACATCACATAAACTAGCACACACATGTGTTACTACACATTAGGTTCCTTGGAGATAAATCCCATCTGACCCAGAAGAGAGCAGCCTACAGAGGGCTGGGAACTTCCTCCTTCTCTTCCCACCATGAGGGTAAAGCAGGGAATTTGGGGGACTCGGGGAGGCAGAAGCAACTCAGGCTTGCTGTGAAAAGAGTTTTTCACGGTGCCTCAGTGCCGGGGGGGATCTAGGACGATGCTGAAGTGGACCCTCCTCCCAGGACTCCTTATGGGACTGACCTGAGGCCACCCTGAGCACTGGCATCAGAGCCGGGACTAGAACTCACCACACTGTCCTGACCCAGTGAGGGCTTGAGTGAGCACAGAAACAGGTGCATACCTGGTTGGTTCTGGGCAGATGTCGGGGCCTCCTGCACCTTCAAGGCTAGACCAAAGGAGCCTCGGTATGAAGAACTGTCCCTTATGACAAAAGCCCCTGGCTCCTCCTTCCTCAGCAGCTCGATTGCTGGAACAATCCTTGAGTCAGACATGGATACTGCCCCACCTGAACACCCTCTGTCCCCAGTGCCATAGGGCCTTCATGGTGCAGGCGTTACTGTCCAATCTCTGCCATTCTTGAGGTAGTTAGTTCCCATTTCCTCATGAGGTCAGCGGAATACCCCTCTTCCCTGGATTTCTATTTGCCAGGACCCAGGCCCCCATCTGCCTGATGTGGGGTGCAGGGGCCTGGACCTGACTCCAGGGTCACCTGCTCTTCCTTTTACCTTGCTCTCGGGTGATGCTTGGCTTAAACCAGTATTTAGATGTGTCCATCACGAACTTCATGGTGGGCTGCATGTCCCTGGTGGGACCTGGAGAAAGAGAGAGAAGGGGGGATCCTGTAGGCTGGACAGCGGGGAGCTGAGAGACATCCACCAGAGAAGGCTGGAGACCCTTCCATACTTCTCTGCCCACGGGTCCCATTCAAACACCAGCCTGGCCCCAACCCCATGTATTCCCAAACTGCCTCCAAGAGGCAAAATCAAACAGAAGGATTCCAGGGCTTGGCCCATCTAGGACTTAGAAGTGCCCATGTATCCTTGGTAATGAATAAAGAACAAATAAAACCTCAGTTTGGTGAGAAACAGTTTCTCAAATCTACCGTTGCCTGGTAGGGACTGAAATAAGGGAAAAATAAGGAATTCTCAGATGCATCATGTTTGGTTTCACATTCTCCTCCCTCTTAATAATCCTACAAGTTTCTTGGGGGTCTATTCAGCTTGGAAAAGAAGATGGAAGAAAAGATGCAGGAGAGGAAAACAGCAGTTCTGGGCAGGAGAGCGAACTCTCAGAAGTTGGGGGCCTGGGTTCTTCACTCTGATTTGGGACAACTGAAGAGAGAGGGCCGAGTGGACTAAACAACATGTGAGGGTCTTTAATGCTCCAATAGCCTATGAAATTGAAGCGAACTTTGTTCTGAGAATATTTTGAAGAATTTGATAAGATCCCAGGGTATGAGTAGTGTTGCCCTGGGGTGTCGCCAAAGCAGGATGGGAACATCATTAGGCTAAGTAAATGTGCTCTTTGAGATGCCAAAATGCCCATTTTCCTGGGTCTCCAATTTCAAAATCTTGAAATGGAGTGTTGTGACCAGTTATACTTAAGTAACTCCTAAAAAAATACTAAAATCTGCAAATGATTTGTCCTAGTAAAGCAATCACAGCAGATTCAAAGGCATACCTGACGTGCCATTTTCTCTTGCTTGCATTGGCATGACTCCGTGAGTGGGAGTGAGCATTTCACACCCCCCAGGGTCACCCTGATGCCTGTGAGCGTCACAGTGAGCGGCCAAGTGAGGGCTGAGAGCTGGCCGTGGGACGGGGGAGCAGGGACAGTGTTGGCAGGAGGCTCTGCTCGTGGGAGATGTACACCCAGGGAGTGCCAAGGCTTAGCTTCTGTGTTTACTGCTGTGGGTCCTGGTTGATTTTGTTCTTTTTGGACGCCTGTAGTTGCAGACTACGGGAAGGAGGGTGTTTGCTGTTTTGTGGTTTTCAGCTGTCTGAATTGGAATGCATTGTCTCCATTACCCCGTCCGCCCCCTCTGTGTTCTCGTCATTCACGCACGTCAGAGTTGGGACTGACTCGCCCTCTCCCTCTCCTTGGTCAGTCATTAAGCCTGCTGCTTCCACATGCCGAAGGTTGCCTGGCTCTGTCCTCTGTCCTCCACCCCTACCGCCCCTGCAATCCATCTGCCTGCAGCTGCCAGAGTGGTCCACTGATCGTGCCCCTCTGACCCCTTCTCTCCCCCGTTTGAGACTCTCTGATGGTCCCCTGGTGCCTAAAGTGTAAACATCCACTTTTTTTTTTTAGACAGTTTTGCTCTGTTGCCTGGGCTAGAGTGCCGAGGCATCATCATAGCTCACAGCAACCTCGAACTCCTGGGCTCAAGCGATTCTCCCGCCTCAGCCCCCAGATTAGCTGGGGCTACGGGTGCACACCACCACGCCCAGCTAATTTTTCTATTTTTTGTAGAGATGGGGTCTTGCTCTTGCTCAGGCTCATCTTGAACTCCTGGCCTTGAACAATCCTTCCACCTTGGTCTCCCAGAGTGCTAGGATTACAGGCGCAAGCCACTGTGCCTGGCCTACATCCACTTTTTAACTTGGTGTTCAAGGCCTTTTACAATCTGACTCCAAATTACTCTCAAAGACCTCACCCTGCGCCCAACATTCCAGGCATTTCCTAAACGCACCATGTGCTTCCAGACCTCTGTGACTGTGGATTCCCTGTTCTCTCTGCTGGGAATGCCCGTCCTCTTCTCTAACCACGAACTTCTGATCTGCTTTCCAGATCCAGTTCAGATGTTGCTTCCTCTCTTTCTCCAGACTGAAAGAATCACTCTTTCCTCCATGGCCCCGTAAGATTTAGAATATCTCTCTACCTCTGTGTTTATATTACTCTATAGTGATGCTTAGCTTTTGTCTCTTTCTAGACTGTTCCCCAGGTGTCTTCACTGCCTGGCTCAGTGCTGGGCACACAGTAAACATGTTGACTGGCTGTTGCAGGAACCCACTGGTGTTTTGTCTCTTCCCCCAACCATACCTTACAGTGCTTGAGATATTGTTTTTCAACATACCCTCTGGACACGTGGTTGGGGAGGCTTCTGGCAGGGTCTGGTTGTGGCTCCTGGTGGCTGGACAGGGGTTGCTGGGAGACATAGCTCCAGGTTGGACAGAGCCCTGGTGTCCTAGGGTCCTCCGGGGTTGGGGAGACCCTGGTTCTGGGCAGCCATTGATCAGCACGATGGGTATGTCCACCATGGAGTTGGTGATGGATGGGGGGCAGCTGCTGGCATGTTCTTTGGCCAATGATGAGGAGTGGGGTGCTCTGGGATGGCCCATGCTCCGGGTGGGGTTGCTGGAAGCCTGGAAGTCACTGGGTCTCATACACAGTGACACAGAGCCGAGGCTGTGGAGGCTGGAGGAAGAGCCAGCTGGACTTTCCAAGGATCTAGAAGACGACTGATGGCTAGAGATGCAGGAGTGTAGGAGGGACTGGCTGCTGCAGGGGGAGAGAGCACCATACAGGGTGTTAGAATGTGGGGGTGAACACTCAGGGGCCAGAGCCAGGCTGTGGATCTAATAATCTGGGTGCCTATGGCTTTGGCCAAATAGAGCACCACATACCCTACCCCTCCACAGCCCATAGAAAAGGGCATGCCCACCTGATCCCCAAGGGATACAGAAATGTCCCCAGATGGTAGGGTCTTCGGTCATGTAAAGTAGCCAACGGACTGACCCCTGCAAGCCTGTGGGCATAGGCAGGCCCAGATTCCCTCTGCCTTCCCAGCCAGGCAGGTTTGATGGAGCTGTTGCACCAGGCTCCCCCTCTCCTCCCACCTCCCCATCGCTTCTAAGAGCCCTGCAGATGTGCTGGACCTGGGCTAGACTGTGCCCGAGGCTGGTGCAGAGGGAATTCCCCAGCTGGAGGAGGAGCAGGAGGCCAGCTTCGCATCCGGCCAGACTTCCCCCTGAGCGCAGAGGCCCATGCCAATGGGCACGGCTGTAGAATCCTCAGTCTCTTTGCCAGGGACTGCTTGGGCCAGTGGCTTTGGAGGTGGTGTGGGAGACAGAGGTCCTGTGGTTTGGTCTTCTTGGGGCAGGATGTGTGTGTGTGTGTGTGTGTGTGTGTGTGTGTGTGTGTACACATGCACACAGTTCTACTGTGAGACCTACAGAGAACTGAGCGGGGACAATTGTAAATAAATGCCCAGGCAGGTTTGCCTCCCTCCTTTGCTACATTTTGCCAGCAACAAAGAGGAATTCCTAAAAGGTACATCTCAGGTCCCCAAATTCTATTTACATCCCTGTGTTTTGGGGTTTTAAAAAACCCTTCCTTGAGATGGGTTGTACGAGGCTGGAAAGGATATAGGTGAGCCTCATTAATGTCATAGCTCTTTTCTCAAAAGGTATATATAAGTCAAGATTTTTGTATGTTGAATCATATTCTGAGCTTGAGGATAGCTTGAGATCCGAATGGCTGTGATGGCATAAAAAAGAACATTCACTCTTTCAGATTTTGCTCACACGGAGCAGGAAGCCCCTCTGTGATCTTCGGATCTGTGTGTATGTGTGTGGAGGCAATGTCAGAAGCTATAGAACCTACCTTCCAAACACGTAGCTGACATCAGACGCTGGGCTGACTGACAGCACAGAGACCCTGCTGCCCTGCTGTGGGGCCAGGCCCCCCAGCCCCTTCTCCAGGCCTGGAGAAGACACCAATGGGGAGCTCAAGCCATGGGGGCCCGGGGCCTTGCTCCCCACACAAGGGATAGAGATGCTGGGGGATAGTGGGGGGTGAGGGGAGGAGCCCCCAGAAGGGGGAGGGGGACGCTGGTGCCCCCTGCCCTGGCTCCCAGAGAAGATGAGGCTCTCGCTGCTGCTTCGGGTCTCTCGGGGGACGTCTCTGGAAAGGAGGAGGCCACCACTGCGTGGAGAGCCGAAGGGCGGGGTGACAGATGGGCTGGAGCAGCGCTGGGGGCCATCATGGCACCTTGATCTGGTGGAGGTCACCTCGATGTACTTTATATCTTTGGAGAGAGAAGCAGAGCATTGGTGAGACCAGGGAGCCTAGACTCATAACAGAAACGCTGGAAGGGTCCTCAAGACTATCTGGTCCCCCTTCTTTTACACAGATGAGGAAACTGGGGCCCAGATAGGAGAAGCTCTTCAGGATTAGAACCCAACTCCATCTTCAGGGCCCAGTTCCAAGGTCACCCTTTCTGTGACATCTTCCCTTGGATAGGGAGATGCCATGGAATGAACACGGACCTTGGAATCAGACAGACCTGGCTTTGAGATCTGGCTCTGTCACCTACTAGCTGAGAGAGGTCGGCCAAATGACTTTACCATTTACAGCCTCAGTTTCCACACCTATAAAAGGGGGTGACTCTTCCCAGCCTCCTGGCGTTACAATACAGATGAAATGAGATTAATGTAGGCAGCACAGCACTGGGCCTGGCACACAGTAGGTGCTTAAAAACTGGGAAATCTTCTCCTTTGTTTTTGCCCCACCCCCCAGGTTGATGGCACGCACTGGGGACACCTGACACCTCTGCTACTCAGCGTGTGTGGAAGCTGTTTCTCTGTACCCACAATGAAGGCAGGGGTTCTCCAGGTTGGTGACACACGAGGGCAGCATTCAAAAGCTCAATGCTCAGGCTGCACCCCAGGTCAATTAGATCGGAATCTGCAGGGGTGAGGCCAGCCCCAGGTTTGTTTGCTTGTTTTTGGTTCCCCAGGTGATTCGGGCATGAGTGGAGCCTCCCCACTGTGATCGGGCCAGCAGCACCACATTCCCTGGGCTCCACCCCAGGCCTATGGAATCAGAGTTGACAATTTGGGTAGACGCCCCAGGGATCTGTGTGCAGTCTGAGAACACTGCTTTAGAGCAGGCGCTCCCTGAGGGCAGGGCTTGCACATTATCGGGCTGTGGACCCCCCAGCAGCTCTTAGCTAGAGCGTGAGCACTGGTCAGCCGACACAGCCCAGGCTGCCGGCTCTTTCCTTTGCCCAGGCAGGGCACTCCTGGATTCTGAGACTTTGTTCCTGCTCCAGAGGTCATCCCTAAGTGGGGTGTCCTGGGGTGCTCCCCTTGGTGAAGATGGACACCCCCCTCCTTGCTTGTGGGGGTGGGAATTGTCCTTGGTGCTGTTCCAGCAAGTGTGGTGGCAGGTGGGGGTTAACCAGCTGCTCTCTTCTGGAGGAAGCTTCCCAGGATGGGAGCTGAGGCAGGCAGGGAGAACCTGCACCCTCAGCTCCTGTCTGCTGGCCTCCCACCCTCCCTGGGCTCTGACACATATACCATCCCCCCATCACGGCTGTGGAGGGCCAGCCTGCACCAACCGGCTCCTGGGTAGGGCCTTCCGGCCCTGTTGGAGGCTACTGCCTCTGTCTGAGCCTGCTTGGGCTGTGGCGGGGCTGGGGCATTGCGTCAGATGAGCTGGCGGGCTGACCTGGGCTTGCTGCTCCGGTGGTGGAGGAAGAGCCTGGCTTTGTAGTCAGACAAACCTGGGGTGAGTCCTGGCTTTGCCGCTTGCCAGCCAAGAGAGGCATTGGGGAACTTTCCTAATCTCTCTGAGCCTCAGTTTCCTACTCTGCAAAGTGAGGGTCTAGAACCAACCTCACCAAGGTTGTGATAAAGATTAAATATAATGAAGAATGGAGGCTGGAGCCTAACCCCTGGTGGGCCTTGAGGAAGGAGCACTTCCTACCTGCCTGCTTTGGGGGGACAGTATTGGCCAAATGGAGCCCTCTCTCTAGCTAAGGTGGGGATCCCCTTGCTTAGAAGGATGAAGGCAAGAGGAGAATATTTCGGGTGCTGTCTTGTGGGCTCTGAAATACAAGGTATCTTGGAATGGGGTGGATTCTTCTGGAAGACTGGCAAGCACAACTTCTATTTTTGTAGGACTTTATAATGTTTACACCCATAATCTCCTGTGAACCTCCTAACAGCCCTTACGCTGGGCAGGCATTATTTTTATAGAGGAGGAAACTGAGGCTTGGAGAAAAGTGGGGATGGAGCTAACACTTACTGTACGACAGTTGTTAATAAAGACTGGTATTTATCGAGCGCCACGTGCCAAAACCACCACAAACGTGTTACCTGTATTAGCTCATTTAACCCTCACCGCACGTCTATTGAAGTAGGGGATAGGTTAACTCCTGTATGACAGATGAGAAATCAAGGCTCAGAAAGGTTAAGTGAATTATCTGATGCCACACAGCCAGGGAGTGAAGGCACCTGACTGCTGCTCCTGAGCTCTGTTTAGGGGCCCCTTCCAGGACAAGGAGGGGCTCCTTGGGACCCCGTTCTAAGGCCTTGCCCTGCGAGAAGATACTTGGCTGCTTTGGGGAGGGTCTCTTGGTCTGGTGAAGCTCTGGCCCTCCTACTCACTGAGTCATGCAAATGCCCACCCAAAGACATGGCTGGGGCTAAGTCAGTGGGAGGAGTAGAGAAGGGGGCAGTCCTGGTGCCAGTTACGCCCCTGCTGTCCTGAGGTGGATGTGGTTGGGGGGAGCTGGAGCACCCCTATCACTGGGGTGACGTTGCTGTTTACCAGCCTTTGGGGCAAGTCTGAGCAGTGCTGGGAGGGTGCTGGCGCCAGCACCAGGCAGGCGGAAGGAGGGCCTGTGGGTGGGGGGCGGAGAGACAGTTATTAAACACCCTTCACTTGGGACTGGCAGACTGCCTTGCCTGGCAGAAATTGCTGGAAAATGAAATGTGGGGAATGTTCCAAAGGTGGGGTTGGGGGTGGCAGAAAGGACAAAGACAGGGAGACGGTGTCTGCTTCCCCTGTAGGATGGGGACCCCCTTAGGACAGGCCTAAAGGAAGGTGAACAAGAGGCAGGGGCAGGAAACCTGAGGAAGGTTTGACAGGTGCTGGGGGGTCAAGTCTCAGAAGGAGCCTGCAGGCTGCCCCCAAAGAGATGCGCTCTGTGACTCCCGAGAACAGGAGACTAGACCCCAGAAGGGGAGAAACAAGAGAACATGGACTTTGGAGCCCAGAAGCCCAGGGTTTGAGGCCTGACCTACCACTTGCTGGCTGTGTGACTGTAGGCTATCACTTCTCCTCCCTGAGCCCCAGCTTTTTCATCTGTAAAATGAGGTTTCCACTATTTCCTTCACAGGTTAGACACTGGGATCATGCATTACACAGGCCAGTTTTAAAAAAAAAATCTGTAAATTTTTAGGAGAGGAGTCAATATAGGATTGCCAATGTTTAATATTTTAATTTTGCCAAGTTAGGACAAACAGGGCAGTGAACATTTGCTAGCATTATAATGTTAGAATGTCTTTCCTTCAACACCCCAAAAGCAGGAAGGGTGAGATTGCAAAATGGTGGGGGTCCTTTGCGTTGAATTACATTTAGACGTAAGAGAACTCACCACAATGCCCAGAGTTAGTTACGCTGCCATGGGCTGCGACAGCTTTGTTACCAGCAGCAGTGGTCTGCAGGGAGGGTTTCAGGAGGCCAAGATGCATGAGAAAGGGGGTAGCTGACCACAGTGACATGCAGGTACCCTCTGCTCTTAGTGACGGTGGAGAGCTTCCTAACGGAGGACTGACCCAGCTGGTGGGCTATCTTAGGAGGTAGTGAGCTCCCTGGCACTGGAGGTGCCCAGGCAGAGGACAGAGGAGAGGGGGTCTTTTCTCTGTCAGCAGGGGCTAGGGCAGAGCTAGGCAGCTTCTTCAGGACCCTCTGGCCACTGCCAGCCCCTTTGCACTCCCTGTTCCCCACGGTTGGGTGGACGCATGCTCACATGGCTGGCTGTGCCCGGGGCATCAAGGTTGTAGCCTGCTGCCCATCAGCCCCATGCTGGTCCTCAGCCCTTTCCATGGAGGAAGGGCCCAGTTGTCACCAACCCTCACCTCACGTCTGTGGACATTTTTGAGACTGGTTTCGCCCCAGCTGGCCTTGAATGGAACTCCTGCCGTGGGGCATGAACATTAAAACCCTGGGCTTGCTCCTGCCAACGGTAATTAGGCCCAAGACGCCTTTTCTGCAGTGACGTGCCCATGACTGGCCTTGAGAAGCAGGAAGACTCTAGAGGGATGGAGGCGGCTCCTTTGCCGGCCTGGCAGGCAATTCTTGGTGGGAGGAGGGAGAGCAGGCAGGAGCCCAGGAGCCTGGGGCACCAGAGGACCTGGGCGCTGGGCTGGCCTCCACCCCAGAGCCCAAACCTACCCTGGGGCTGGCCCTACGTGCAACCCTACTGCTTAATAAAAACAGCTACCGTTTCTAATGACTTACGGTGTGCCAGGGTTGGTGATCAACAGCCAACAAGTGTTATTTCTTTTAATCCTCACAACACCCCTGGAGGTAAGAACTCTTATTATCTCCATTTTATAGATGAGGAATCTGAGACACAAAGAAGAGAAGTAAACAGTCTGTGTAAGGCCTGCCTGACGCCAGCTATTAGGCTAGACTTGCTCCTTACTCAAGCCTATTGACCTCAGTTTTTTCATCTGTAAAATGGGGATAAAATTCGTACCTCCTGGGGCTGGATTGGAAGGATTGAAGATTCTGTATAAAGTGCTCAGCACAGTGCCTTGCATATAATAAGTGTTCAATAAATGGAAGTTCTCATGGATCCTGTCTCTAATCCTAACTGCACCCCCTCACCCCGGTTGATTGTTAACCCCCGGAAGCCTCAGTCTTCCAACCTGTCCAATGGGGCTGTTGCTCCTTAACCCTCATCCTCAGAGTGTGCTTGAAACTCTTTGTTTGGGAAACTGTAGCCACACGTAGGAATTTCTGGATTCCCTTGGATTCGGCGGTGCACTGGAGTTGGCTTGTACCAGCTTGTTAAGAGCTGATTGTTAAACTTTTTAGGGTTTTGTCCAGTGCGTTGCTAAATTCAGCCATTATTAAAAATTACAGTATGTAAATTTATAATGAAATAAGTTGTATTAAAAACAAAGGTAGTAAATACTCAAAATTCATCCCATCCCAATTATTTTACTCCATTTTGCTGTTATCTATGCCCTCGAGGTTATTTACGTCAGTGGTGTTGGTGTGGGGGAGCTGCTGAGTAACAGCCTGCTACTGCACGTTTCCACCTCCTCATTCAGTGGCAGCATCGTGCTGGAAGCCGCAAATTGGTCATGGTGGGAGAATTTACACTGTGGAAATGGGCGGATGCTTCGAATCAGGCTTCCTCTGCCCCTGCCTGCAACCAGGGAGCCGGTTGTTAAAGATTTGCCAGCGTACCACTGCTTGAACGCAACAGGTTTCCCATCCCAAACAGACTGGATTCCGTGTCTCTCCAATCCCACTATCCCCAGCTTGGGCCTCGCCAGAGAGACACTATCCTAAATAGGGACAGGGGCACATAGAGCAGTCCTACAAAAATTTCAGGGGGCCAAATTAGGATCTAGGACTATGGGGTTCAGGGACTCCACATTTATTGAGCTCTTACTTATATGCATGGCATTGTACAAAATACTTATATATATTAGCTTATTTAAGTTCTCATAAAAATCGTGTAAAACAGGTATTCATCACTTTCCAAACTCAGGAACAAAATAGAATTTAAGAGTGAGGGAAATTTGTATTTATCCCTTTTGTGTAGCAGAGAAAACAAAGAGGTCAATAACTTATTTAGGGTTGCACAGCACCTCCCAACAGGACAGTGTCCCCTTCTCTGATTCTACAGGAAGTTCCTTTTTCCTCATGAGGTCCCAAGTCCCCCTCCTGGCACTGCCCCAGGTCCTTACCCAAGGCTTCAGGTTCCTCCTTCTTTCTCCTCGAGGTGGTGCTCTGGGCAGATTTGGCCTGGGGGCCACCAGCCCCCGGGGGAAGCAGCTGGAAGGTAGGGTCCAGTTCCAGGATCATCTGGTTGAGGCTCTCCAGCGAGAAGTCAATGTAGGAGTCAAGGTCCTCCAGGGTCCCTGAGGCCTGCTCCCCGGGGGACTGCAGGAGGCCGTTGGCTTTGGCCTCAGCCTGTGTGGCCTGCTGGAGCCTGCTAGGGGGCCCCTTGCAGGATATGGGGGCCATGAGGGCCTGGGTTCCCCAGCCTTCCATAGTGTAGTAAGAACACTGGGGAGGCAGGTTGGGGCTGGGTGCTGGGTGCAGTGCCCTCCTGGGTTCTTCACAGGGAGCCAAGCTGACTGTGTGGCCTCCTGCCAGCAGGGGGCTGGACATCACCTGAGACATGGTACGGGTGGTGACCCCAGTGCCTGGTTTACCTCTGGCTTCCAGCTAGCCTCACTGACATCCCAGGGATGGCACTTGCCAACCAGTAGCTCCCAGGACCTGAAAGAGGCGGGGAGTGGGAACTGAGCACCTTCTGTAGGTGAAGCCCCTGCTTCCCCTCCCCCCACGGAAGGACATATTTTTAATTTATTCATTTAAAGGCGTGGATGCTGGCGCCAGACTGCCTGGGTTTGCAGTCTGGCTCCACCACTTACTAGCTTGTATGAAATCTTGGGCAAGTTAGTTAACTTCTCTGTGCCTCAGTTTCCTTATCTATAAAATGAGTTAATATTTATAACATGCTTAGAACAGTGCCTGGCATAGAATAAGCACTATGCAAGTGATCGTTAAATAAAATAACTTCAGTAGATCTTTGTTGAATATTTACTATGTCCCAGGAATATTTATTAAATAAATACTACCTAATGTTTATTGAGTAATTACTATGCACATAGGCCCTGGCATTTATACATAAAGCCTTTTAAAATCTTCATGACAACCTTATGAGGTATTATTATCCCATTTTACAACAAGAGAACTGAGACACAGAGAGGTAAGTAACTTGACCAAAGGTCACAGTGCCACCAAGTGTCAGAGCAGGACTGGACCCAGGCTGCCTGATGTCCGGGCCCCCGCCCTTACACCAGTTGTTGAAGCAGAGAAGTTAGCAGGTGAGCAACTGTAACAGTGTCACCAGGGAGGAGGAAGTGGAGGGGGCTCTGTAGGTGCTGGTGGGGAGGTCAGGCAGGACTTCCGGAGGAAGGGACGTGCAGAGGGAGATAGAAGGAAGAACAATTAAGGAAAGTCAGCCTGAGGAGGCAGGGGAAAGTTTATAGTAGAGGGGACTGTTTATGCAAACGGCTACAAGACAGGGAAGGCATTGCAGAGCACCCAGGAAACAGAGCAGCACCTGGGTTGGATGGAGGAGGAGATGGGGCAGGGGAGGCAGGCTGGGCTCTGGGCTGCTGACTCAACCCTGAGGGCAGTGGGGAACCACAGAAATTTTTTTCCGTAGAGATAGGGTCTTACTCTATCACCCAGGCTGGAGTTCAGTGGCATGATCATAGCTCACTGCGATCTTGAATGTCTGGTTTCAGGCAATCCTCCTGCCTCAGCCTCTTGAGTAGCTGGGACTATAGGTATGTGCCACCACACCCAGCTATATTTATTAATTTTAATTTTTGTAGAGATGGGGTCTTGCTATGTTGCCCAGGCTGGCCTCAAACTCCTGGGCTCAAATGATCTTCCTGCCGTGGCCTCCCAAAGTGCTAGGATTACAGGCATGAGCCTCTGTGGCTGGCCCAGAAAAGTATTGAGCTGGGGAGTGACATCATCAGATGATATTCATTTCCTGGGGGCTCATTTGGGAAAGAGATGTCCCAATTTTCTCATCTTCCTTACTGTGAAAAGTTCTTCCTGTTGTCTACCCCTAATGCCACATGCTAGTTTCTTTTTTTTTCTTTTTAAAGACAGGGTCTTACTCTGTTGCCCAGGTTGGAGGGCAGTGTCATGATCATAGCTCATTGCAGCCTTGAACTCCTGGGCTCGGGTGATCCTCCTGCCTTAGCTTCCTGAGTAGCTGGGGCTACAGGTGCATGCCATCAGGACTGGCTAATTCTTTTAATTTTGATTTTTGTAGAGATGGGGTCCTGTTATGATGCCCAGTCTTGAACTCCTGGGCTCAAGCGATCTTTTTGCCTCGGCCTCCCAAAGTGCTGGGATTGCAGGTGTAAGCCACCATGTCCGGCTCCGACATGCTAGTTTCTCATACGTGGGGCTTGGTAGGAGGTAAGAGGTTCTGGGACCGAGGCTGCCAAGAACACCTCATGGAGCTGGGACTTGCTGATCGCACTCCATTGCTTGCTCTGACCTTCGCTGCCTGCTCCCCACAACACTCCCCAACTCTGTTTTTCCCCTTTTCCAAGATGCCTCCTCTACAACTTGCTTTGGAGTCAGATGTTAGTGCTGGAAAAGGCATTTGAGACCAGCCTGGGGCAAGTGTACTCTGGAATCTGAATATTTAGATTTGAACCCCAGCTCACACAGCTCCTCCTGGTGTGACTCTGACCCTCAGTTTCTTCACCTGTGAGATGAGAATAAGATTTCTTGCCTTGGACCTTCCCAGAGAGTGCTGTGGATCCAATGAGGTGCTGCTCGCGAAGGCAGCTAGTTAGACAATTCTAAATTGTACTTAGAAATAAAGGCTTATCGAGTACAACACCCGCATAATAGCGGCACCCATTTACTGAGCATCGACCACGTGCCAGGCGCTGATCTTCACAGTTTACATGTGAGTTACATTTGGTGACTCAGTCACTCTTCTCATCTCATAGCCCTGGGAAGTACTTCGCCCCGTTATCAGTCCACTTTATAGATGAAGATACTGAGGCTCACGAGAGGTTAAGAAACCTGTGAAGGCCACACATCCAGAAAAACAGTGGAGCTGGGATTCAAACCCAGGCTGTGGGACTCTGGAATCTTAACTCCTTATGCCACGTGGAGGTCTAATGCCGGGGGACAGCTGAGGTCCAGAGAGGGAGCATGATTTGTGCAAGGTTGCTCAGTAAGTTTAATGAGAAAAGCCAGGCCCCCGTTCTGCCCCTCACCACGGCTTCTGCAGGCTCAATGCCAGGCCTCTCCTCGGCCGGGTCCTGGAGGGGCGGCGCGTGCTGGGCATGGGAAGCGTGTCTATAAATGGCAGTGGAGGGGAGCCGGCCTCTGAGCTCCTTCCTGGGGCAGCTGAGGACACAGGGCCAGAGCTGTGGCTTTTTCCACACAGGCTCCAAGTGGCCTGGGTTTGTTGGGACAGGATCTGGGCGCACCCTGCAGAGTTTTCTGGCCGGGCCCCGCAGAGGAGGCTAGGGTTACTGATTTTGCAGAGCTCACTGAGGGGCTAGGTGTCCCCCAATGACCAGGACCCAGGACACCTGCCTACTGATTTGGACACAGCTTTCATGCCACCCCGGGCAAGTGTCCTTTCCTCTCTGGGCAGACCTCAGTTGTCCCATCTGTATGATGGGGCTATGATAATAGCAGACACAATCGAATTCATTACACTTTCTCGACAGTTCTCTGAGGGCAGTACCATTTCCGTGGGGCTGGAGGGATTTGTCCAAGGTCCTACAACCTACACGTGGTGGAACTGGGGTTTGAACCCAGGTGGTCGTGTCTGCACAATCCCACACTCTTACCCTACGCTGCTGCTTCACAGATTTAAGACCCTTCTGGGATTCTGGAACCACGTGAGACAGACCCGGTGCTGAGCAAAGGCAGGCAGCCCTAGGCTCTTCAAACTCTCCTCATGTTTACCACACCCGGAGTCTCAGTCCCAGGGCAGGGGGGGCTGTGTCTTCTCCTTCATTCCTGGACGCTGTCCCCTCCTTGGCCCCGGCCAGCACACTCCTCTCGCTCACTCTTTCCTGTTGGAAGCAGTAGGGGAGTCCCTGTGTGTGTGTTGGGGTGGACAGGGTTGGGGAGGGCTCCGTCCAGCTCTGTCCCATTTGTGGGTCTCTGCCACACACTCCCCCTTCCCGCTCTGACTGGGATCTCTTTCTTTGTCCCCGAGGACTCCAGAGGCAGGGAAATCCTGGTACTTGGCAAATGCCCTTTTCTGCTTCTGCCAACCTCTTTTCCTGGCTTACTCTCTCCCTCCTACCAGCCTGGGTGGGTGAAAGGAGAAGAGTAGGGCCAGAGTGAAGCCCGAGTCTCCCCAAAGCACTTTGCCTTGAAGACCAGCTCCTGATCTTCCTGTCCCATCCACCAGACCCAGTGAGGCAGGATGTGGCTGGCAGGCAGGGACCCGCAGGACAAAGCGAAGGCCCCACCCCATTCCTGCAGGTCTTGGAGGGGCCTAGTGCTCTGGGCTGGGAGGCAGGAGGCCTGGGTTCTGTGTCCGGTCCCTACCTGTGTCTCCATGACCTCGGGTGAGCCCCTTCCCCTCCCTGGACCTCAGTTCTCTCGTCTGTACACCGAGGCTACAGATTCGGTTCCCTTAAAGTGCTGAACTCCTGGGTCTATGATCCTGAGACCATCTCTCTTCTATCCACGATCTCCTCCCCTTTTCTCTCTGCCTTCATGCTGAGCCCCAAGGAGAAATGGAAAAGCTGAGGACAGCAGGATAAATGAGTCAGGTCACAGAAAGTGTTGAGCGTCCCTCTCTTCTTAAAGAGTAAAGGCACCTACCTGGTGTCCACGCGTGCGGGCAGGCTGTTGTTCACTACCACCAGGTGAGGAGTACGGCCAGGCGCCAGCTCACCTCCAGACCTGCTTTAAGAGCAGCCTGCCCGCCCGCCCTCTCTCCACTCTCCACTCTCCGCCCTCCATTCCTGCACGTGGCCCTGACAGCAGCAGGCCCTGCCCCTGCTGTGTCCGGATGAGCTCAGGTGGGGCCGGCTCTGGCAGGGGGCAGGGAAACATTGGCTGGAGGCCTGGCCAGGCTGGCGCTGGGGCTGGGTGTATGCGAGGGGCTCCCAGGCTCCCAGCTTGGCCTTCCTGCTGCACCATGTGGCCAGGGGAGCCCTTGCTGGGGCGAAGGTGTGCTGCCGGTTTCCCTCTCACCTAGGTGCCAGCTGGGGGAGAGGTCGTGTGTTGACAGAACCAGTAGAGAGTGAGGGGCTTGGCCTTGGCAAAGCAGGATGCCAATGGGCAGGAGACCCTCCCTGGCCCCTCCTGTGTGTCTGGGTGGGGTCACACTGGAACAGACACAGGGTAGGGGCCCGCTGGAAGTGAGGCTGGGCACAGATCTTGTCTTTATTTCTTTTCCTCCTTTTACAGTAATGTCTCGAGCCTGGGAATGGGGCTTCTAACTTGTGGGGAGGAGGCGGGAGTGTCTCTGGAGGGCTTTGAGAAGGGGCTTGTAGCTCTGCACTCACTCGTTCACTCGCAGGCTATCCCTCTCGGAGGTCTGGCCTGTGCCCCAGGGAGGAAGCTCCACAGGGTGGAAGGTGGTGGCAGGAAGTCCA